GGGCCCGGCCAGACCCGGCTTGTGAGGGCTGTGCCACGGTGCCCAGCGGTGGCTCCTTGCGTTGGGCCATCACATCCTGGCTTGTCCCAGCCGTTCATTCAACACGTGAGCTTCTGTGATGGTATGGGAACGCGTAGAAAGCTGCATCCAAAGCCAAGGTGGGGATTGCCAGCCAGCATCACGTCTGTGGGACAGGGATGGAATGATCTTGCAGGACCTGCTCCTGTTTTGTCCCCTCACCTGTACCCAGTAACCATCTGCAAGATCCAGATGTGGCTGGGCTGCTAATTGGACCTGTTCATATTTGAATTTGAGGTTGCCAAGACAAACATGTGGAAACGTTTTGGAAATCTGCCATCCCTCGAGTAGGGGACATGATTCCCAAGCTCCCTGGAAGCCAGCCACACAAGGAAGAGGGCTCTGGGAACGTGCGGCTCTTGCCAGGTCATTAGAAGCTTTAGGTCATGGCTGGGCTGCCTGCAGATTTCAGGGGATGTAGCCGATTCTAATGTTTTAAAATAGACTTTAAATTAACTTTTTTTATATATATGCACATAAAAACTTGATACTTTAAAATACACTTACAAATCACAGACAGCCCTATAAGTATATTTTATCTTATGGCTGGCTTGAGGTTGGTGGCTAAATAAAGCCCAAATCGGCAGTGAAGCTTTTGGAAATCATGTATAGATTTTTGGTGTCTAACAAGAAGGGGCCTCATGGTATGGTTTTAACCTAGGCACCGCGTGGGTTGTTTGCTTTTTCTCTCTGCTACCAAGTGCCCATTTTTGTGAAAACTATGGGAGACTGATGGCTTAAAGAGCTTGCCTTCTGTAATGTTGATTGAAAACAGCCAAGGGGTTCAGAGCTCCTGGTGTGGCCAGGCAGAGACAGTAACACTGTAATATATTTCCTTGGGTATCCAAGCTGAATATACATGTGTGTCTGCTGCTGTCACCAGGAAAGAGCTCAGAGCCCTTTACAGGGGCAGGATGCGCTAGCTAAAGCAGCCAGCGATTGGGGTTGTGGAAGGCACAGCATGAAGGAACTCATCATTTTGCAACCTAAGCTACGAGTAAACACCTAGTTATTTGGCTCCTACCTCTAAGTTTTGTCTCCACTGTAAGGAAGGTGTAATTTTTTGGATACTTTTGGGCTTCTGACTCCGAGTGCTTGACCCAGTCAAATCTCACTATAGAAAAAAATCTCACTGCTAATGCAGAATCATGCTGCATACACAGGATCTGGGCCCAAAACTAGGCTTTGCTGTACAAATAACTTTGTATATATCTAGAGGGGGGGGGGAACTCACCTGCAATCAAAGCAGCCTACAACGAACTTATTTTTGACGCTGCAATTTGGTCTCTAGGGCGCTAAGAAAACCAGTGGTGTCAATTATCTGTGTGTGGAAACCATTAGACCATTCAGCAATCGTGAGACCACAAGACAGGGGAAAAGAAATGCAGAAGTGTGCTTTAGCGGAAGAGATGAAATGGGGTGATGTGGAGCAGCGCTGGCTCTTTGGGTGCCCGGAGCAGGCAAAGCGCATCGGGAAGGGGCCTGGGCTGGGGCAGAAGGAGCAGCATCTGTGGGACCGCGGCCAGTGAAGCAGGAGCAGGCCCTGGGTGAGCCGGGACGGTGCTGGCTTGTGTCTGCTGCCTCTGTAGCAAAGCTCCTGCGTGGCTGAATTTGACCCATGAATTAATGCTGTGAATTTTTTTGCCCTCTCTGGTTTTTTTTTTTTTCTTTCTGCCTTTCTTTTCCAACAGAAACCATCAGATAATACCGTTGGCACCAAAAAGAAGCGCTAGGTTTTTGCTGGCCTGTCTTGCACGTGGTGCTGTGCATTGATTTAATGTCCCTGGCTTTTTACACAAAGTTCTTCTAACACATCTGTCATCACAGTATCTGGGTAACAGCAGAGGATTGTAGGGCAGTGATATGATTGGAGTTGTTTGCATTATTTACCTGCTTGTTTGTATTATTTGCATTCATCACTAATTATACTGGAGCTTAGAGGCAGGCTGGGAGGGGGAGATGCGATGCTGCTGACAGCGGGCTCTCGCTGCCCAGCCGGGTGCGCACCAGGAGCTGAAGCTTTCGCCTTTGGTGCAGTTGGGCGTTGCCCCATCCTGCTGCCAGCTGCTGGCAGGGCTAAACAGAGGGTGCTACCACCCCATCTGCGGGGAGCTGGTGTCTTTAGAGGTGAAGGCTATAGGGATACCATTTTCATCAATCCCACAATTTAATCCTTCCCATCCTTTGAAGATACCCAGACAGGGCCACCTCCCTACTTTGCTCGGGAATGAGCAGAGGTGATGAACCGTGTACCTGGGGGGTTGCAGAGGAACCAACATTTTTCATCATTCCAACAAGAAAAAATGCAGGCAATAAAGGATTATTGGGGTCCTGTCCCCCAGTAATCGCATCCCAATGGGGTTAGGTGGCTCTGTCCTACTGCCCTGGTGAATCAGGCAGGGCTGGGGAGGCAGGGAAGTGGGACTCTGTCCCATTTTCATCCTAAATAGAGGGTTTTTTTCACATCCACTGGGTTTTTTTTTTTTTTTTCTTATTTTTTCTAGAACCTCAGATGCATGTGAGCACATGGCTGCCTGGCTGGCAGCTTTGTGTCCTGCCTGCCCCCCCTTGCCCAGGCCGCTTTGATACTCAGGGGGTAGCAGTGGCTCAGGGACGTGCAGCCCAGCTGAGTGACCGCCCGCGGTGCAGAGGGGGTTTGCACAACCCCTTTTCTCTCCTGAACTGACTGCACTGTGAGCCAGGGCTTGGTGCTGCTCAAACCTTGCGTGCCCCGACGCACGGCCGCAGGCGCCTCCAGCTGCTCTCAGCAGCCTCTGGCTCTGCTCCAGGGGTGGTTTATGGCTCCGCCCTGGCATGAAGCCTCAGCTGGGCACTGAACCGCGGCATGACAGGGACACGGCAGTGCCTGCTCACCCCCGCGTTGGTTGGGCGGCCACGGGCAGCACAGTGTCGGTGCTCTCCTGCTAAGCCAGACGCGGTTGGCAGGTTTGATCGCATCACGCAGCAGAGGGACAACGTTGCTTGCCCCATATGGACTGAAATCAGGCAGCCAAGGCCAGCCTGAAGTGCTGGCATTGAACCTCCTGTGGAGGGTAGGCACGCGTGGCCCCGAGAAGCAGCACCCCAATCTCTGCTCCCTGAAGACCTGCTGTGCTGCATGGCTTTTCCCATCCGGGTGGCCCCAGTGCCGCTCAGGGGATGGAGAGGGCTGGGGATTTGCTGGAGGGCAGTGGCTGCTCCAACCTGGCTCCTGAGGAGCAGCTGAACCCCCCCAAACCTGCAACCCTTTTCCAGAGTTCCTCTTCCAGGGGGTTAACACGGCGGCACTATCCACTGCAGCCTGCTGTGTGCAAGGTTGTCCTGTCCTAGGAGGAGGTCTCCAGTGTCACCCTGATCATGTGTCAGCCCTGTTTGCTCGCTGGATGGGCAGGGATGGAGCACCAGCTTCACCAGCTCTCAGTGGGGAGGGATGTGGGGGCACTATGGGGGTCTCTGTAACTTCATTTTGTGCTAGGAAGACTCATCACCATTTTATGGAGAGGGATTTGGGAGCACAGCAGAGTGAGAAGCCTCGCCCAGATGCCTGGACATCTCCAATGATCGTCCTTGGCTCCCAGCTCATGCCCAAACCCCTAACCCACACTGCTCCCCTTATTTTTCCTAATGGAGCTTCAAGCTCTGCCAAGAAACTGGGCAATGGCCCCTTGCTCTGGCACACTGCTCCCCATGCCTGGCCACAGCTGGCAGAAGCTCTGCACTACCTGAACCCTTACTTTTTTTAGTAGGGGAGGCCAACTGTTGCAGGGAGCCCAAAATCCTGTGCCGCGGGGTGGGCAGGGGCTGGCGGGGGACGGCTCACCCCGGGGCAGCAGCTGCTGCCCGCTCGGGCACTTCTTGTCTTTCCTGGCCCCTGGCGCTGTAAGTTAACACCCCACAGGCGGGTCCAAAGAGGATTTCAACGAAACCTGAAGCTTGGGAGGAGAGATTATGCTGCAGAAGTGGCCTGGGAGACCGTAAAATATGCACTCCCACAATCACCAAAGAAGGAACTGGATTTGCTCCCTGGGGAGCAGGGTCATCCCTGGTCTCCGTAACAGCATCTGAGGGGGGAGATGAATGCCTTGAAGATAGGTCACCCACTTCTGTCTCAGCTCAGCCCCGCTGAGCCTCCCCAGGAACCTGGGAGTGCTTGCTCTCCCAAAATTTGGTGCCTCCTAGTAGGTCACTGCTTAATGAAAACCAGGTTTAGGACAAATGCCTGTGAAAATGCCCCCAGCGCAGCTGGCCCTTCGCTTGCATGAAGCAGCACCTGGGAGAGTAAAGGAGTGGGGTGGCCTTTCCCAGGGCATTTGTGCTCCCCCAGCACCCTCCATCTGCACCCCGGGAAGGAGGGCTGCCAGCAGCCTCTGCCCTGCAGGGTGCTGGTTTGGGATGAGGTGGCCTGTTCCAGGTCCTGTAATGCCAGGAGCAGAGCTGAATGCTGCTTTTGTTTTGGGTCGTTTACTGGTTTCTGAGGCAACTGTATCTACAGAGCGAGGAGAGCCAGGCTGGGGAGACGGCTCATCCCATCCCATCCCATCCTGTCCCATTGCGCAGGACTCAGTGGGGATGCGCTGACCCTTGCAGCCCGCTGTGCTGGCATGTGAGTGTGGGTGCTGTAGGCGAAGGCTGCCCCACCAGCCCTCCTGCCCTTCCTAGGAGCTGCTCTTGCAGGGGGCTTTGATGCTACTAATTTAAGTCTGTTTACATCCTCATGAGAAAAATCAGAGCTGTGGTCTCTAGTTCACTCTTCTGGAGCCTGCAAAGGTGCAGACCTGGAAGGGGTCCGGAGAGGAGTGATGTGCTTTTCCCAGTCCTTCAAGGTGTTGCTGCTAAGGTCCTGCTGGCTCTTAGCAGGGTCCTGTACCCAGGGCACAGCCCTGGTTGCTGTGAGCATGATTCTCTCTGTGTCCCCCATCACACGACACAGTGTGCCCTCTTGAGCCTGGTCTGGAGGAGCGTGGTAGGGCAGTGTTTTTTGGGGCAGAGCTGGAGAAACCCTGCACAGAGCTGCTCCGCTCCTCTCCTTCCTTTTTCACCCATCTCGTGCTTCATGCAGTGTGGCACAAGCCTCGGTCTTGGGACCATGGAGAAGCTCTATGTCAGGGGCAAGCAGATGCAGGTACAGCAGTAGCCTGTGCTATGGCCAGGTGCCCGACTCAGGGGTCTAGAGCTGGTCCTGGCAGCCTGTGAGTGACAAACTGCAAAATGGGCCAAAAGGGACTGTCACCGAGCCAAGGAGAGCTGTGCCACCGCAGGTTGCATGTCTGCTGGGGCTGCTGCCACCCTCTTGGCACAGCCCAAACTCCAGCCCCATGGGGCTTCCTCCCATTCTCAGTTCCGGATGCAAATCCAGACCCCATCTGTTAAGTGGCTTTGGGCTTGCACCAGTGTCCCCTGATGCCCCAGCCCCTTTCCAGTGAGCTGTCACCTGCCAGCAATGGCTTTTGGGCTTGTGTCCTCTGCTCCCTGGTGATGTCTGCTTTTGCACGCGGGTGAGCACTAGTGGAGTTGGGGCTCCTCTCTTCAAGGGAAGGTGGGTATGTCCACTCTAGGGCAGCGCTACCCTGCAGCCTGCCTTCCTTTGCTGGCTCACCCAGAAGCGAGCTCCCTTTTCACCCCGTCCCTCTTCTCTCCCGCAGGCACGTACCAGGGCCAGTTCACCAACGGCATGCGGCACGGCTACGGGGTGCGGCAGAGCGTGCCCTACGGCATGGCCTCTGTGGTCCGATCCCCGCTGCGCACCTCCCTCTCCTCCCTGCGGAGCGAGCACAGCAACGGCACCCTGCCCCAGCAGGACTCCCCCGCTGCCAACCCCGAGAGCCTGCCCCTCTCGCCCACCATCACCCGCGGGGGCTTCGCCCTCAGCCTCTACGCAGAGGCGGAGGCTGGCAAGCCCAAGAAGGGGGGGCTCTTTCGCAGGGGATCCTTGCTGGGGAAGCTGAAGAAGTCTGAGTCCAAGTCATCCCTGGCCAGCCAGAAGAGCCGTGTCAGCTTCCTCAAGAGCGAGAGCGGAATCAGCTCGGCCGCCAGTGATGCCACCTCCACTGTCAGCCTGGGCGAGGGTGCCGAGGGCGAGGAGTACCCCCCCTTCGAGTCCGACATTGACGCCACCACCACGGAGACCTACATGGGCGAGTGGAAGAATGACAAGCGTGCTGGCTTCGGCGTCAGTGAGCGCTCCAGCGGGCTGAAGTACGAGGGCGAGTGGCTGGGAAACCTCCGGGATGTTGCCCGATGGCAAGAAGGAAGAGGGCAAGTACCGCCACAACGTCCTCGTCAAGGGTATGAAGAAGCGTGTGATACCCCTCAAGAGTGCCAAGATCCGGCAGAAGGTGGACAGGAGCGTGGAGGGGGCTCAGAGGGCTGCGGCCATTGCCCGGCAGAAGTCAGAGATTGCAGCATCCAGGTAAGCACTTGGGGCTCTAACTGCAGGTCTCCATGGTGGTGGTGGTCCCCATCCCATGTGTCCCTCTGGAGCCATGCTGCATGCCTCCTCGCCACGCACCAGCGGTGGGGTCAAACACGGCTCCCTGCAATTTCTATTTAATGCTTTGTACTAAATGCTGGCAGAGCGGGGCTGAGGGCCCTTGTGGCAGCCCGGGGGGGTTTGGGACCTGTCCTCCCTCTCGCGCCCTCTCTTGTCCCCCTGCAGCCCTGTCCAGGAGGGAGCTGCTGGAGAGCAGGGCCTGGCACCAGCCCTGGTGCTCGGCAGGATGGGGAGCAGGAGCCGGTGGGATGGGGAGCACCCTGGTGCCGTGCTAGGCTACCAGAGCCGCTGGGTGTCATTGATGGGGCAGGATGAGAAATAGTGGAGTCTGGCTATGGTAAATCCAGCAGGCTCGTGAGCAGCCAGCGGGAAAAGTCCCAGATAAATCGGGTCTGCAGCAGAGCGTGGCTCAGCCCTGGAGACCCCAGTGTGTCTCTGTGGGGAGTTTATGGGATGCATTAGGGTTGTCGCTTCATTTTGGTAGCTTGGTGTAATGGGCTCTCTGGGAAAAGCACTGCTCTGCTGGCACGCTGCGAACCAGGAGGGACAACCTACGGTGGATACGAAACCAAGGAGGGGGCTGCCTCGGGGAGCCCTGTCTTCCCCCCAGGACCCAGCTGCCCTCGGCCAGGTTTTGAGTGGGTGTTTCTGCCATGAGGGAGGTGGCGGCCGGAGCCAGGGCAGATGGCTGAGCCCACAGTGTATGGCTGAGCCCAATCCCACGGCACACAGCCGCATCCTGCAGCCTGCGATGCTTTAGGATGCCGGGAAAGGAGGAACTGGGGAGGGCTCAGCTGGGTTTGTCCCCTTTTGTCCCCCAAGTTTGTCCTGGCCAGACCCCGGGGTGGGAAGGGGGCTGCAGCAGCCAGCAGCGAGTGAGTGGCAGCGTGCCTGGGGATGCGTGTGCAGGGCGTGTGAGGGGCTGCTGTGAGCACGTGGCAGTCTATCGTTGCACCCGTGTCCCTTGTGCCGGCAGACATGCAGGTGTTGCCCCTCTGCCGCCCGGTATGTTGGGACCAGACAGGTGGCTCTGCTCAGAATTAGCTGCGTTAGAAATTAGCAGGAAAGGAAAGTGCTAATTGCTCCATCGTCCCTCCTGTGGTGGAGGAGGGAGGAGATAAAAGAGGGGCTCTGGGGTCTGCCTGGGAAGGGCAGGGGAGAACCTCCTTCTCCTGCTTGTGTCCCTGCCTGTGTCCCTGCCTGCGTCCGAGCTGTGCCAGCAGTGCGCTCCTCCTCCCACAGCATTCCGGCCAGTCTCAGAGCCGGCCTGGCAGAGACCAGAGATCGTCAGGCAGGGTCAGAGCCTTCGCTCCTCTCCTTTTCCTCAGGGAAACGTGGTTACGAGGGACCTCGAGGTTTCACCTTGCCTCTCCATCAAAACCTCACCCCATGCAGGCTTTTCTTAGCTGCTGGGCAGTGGCTGGGACTCCAGGGCTGTCCAGCCTTGCTCCTTTTTAGTGCTGTTTAATTATCAAAGTTACTTCATTATCAAGCAGACATGGTAAATAACAGCGGTGGGGAGGGTGCCTGTTCCCAAACCCCATCCCTCCCCTCTGAGAAACGCTGGCTCTACTCCCCCGGTGGCCATTTCTGCTCCAAAGTTTTGCAGGGAGTGTGACTTTTTTTAGTAAAATCCAGTTGCCTCAGAGGCTGGCAGGGAGAAACCAGCGGGATTGCAAGTGAAACACTGTGCAGGGCCAGCTAGGGTAAAAATAACAGGCTGGGGCGGCGTGGGGCCTGCCGGATCCTCCTGGCAGGGCAGGCTCAGCCTGACACTGGCTTTGCCGTGTCCAGAAAGTGTGTGGCTGTGGTGCTACGTGCCCGTAAATAAGGAGGCTGGAGCTGCAAAAGCTGCTCCCCGAGAGCTCGGCTGGTTTACACAAGCCTCTCTTTATTATACACTATTTACACTTTGGATCAAAAGCAGCTCTGCAGTGTTTTCCATCAGGGGCTGGAATGCGCCCACTGCCCTGGCGGGGGACTGCATCCCTCCCCAGTGCGGCTGGGGAATAATTTCCTATTAAGGAAACCTCAGAGCTGGAGGAAGTAAGATGTTAAAGCTGGTTTCCTCCAGGGAGTCCTCCCCCAGCAGACCCTGTGATAGTGCGGCTGTTGTGGCAGGGATAGAGGACGCCGCTCTCCCCAGCAGCGCGATGCCCCTGGTCCCATTCCCGCGGCGCTGCCTGCAGCTGAGCCGGACCCGCTGCAAAAGGAGAATTTGGGCTCCTCCATCCTGTAAACTATAACTCACCATTTCCATCGTTTGTATTTTGCTCTGGGCAGAGCCAACCACTCTACCTCCTGCCTTCAGAACATCTGACTCATGCTCTCTTCCTTTCAGCTCAGTTTTGGGGTCGAGAGTAAATATAGATAATTTTGCCTCGAAAGGGTCCTTAGGTTAAGACCTAGCTCTGCCACCGACTTTCTCTTTGGCCTGGAACCTTGCCTCAGTTTCCACACCCAGGACAGAGAGTAATTGTGGACAGATTGTGAAAATTGATTATTATGGTTTTAAAAGGGCTGTATTATCATTAGCATTGCCCAAGCTCGTAACTGCAAGGTGGAATTTTCTAGATGGAGCATTTATATTTCTCCTTGGTTGGCAGTGTGTACCTTACCCAAAGAAATGTCCTTGAGGCTACGCGAATCCTTTTTTGGGAGAAGATGTGACCTATCTGTATGTAAGGTTATTGCTAGGAACTAATTAGCAGGACACAGCAGCTGGGCAGTGCAGACACCTGACTACCCCGATGTACTTGTGCTGCTGTACATGGATGTTTGCTTCATTCACTTCTGGCACTTGGGGGAGCCCCTTGCAGAGCTAAACTATGGTGATACCAGCCTTTCAGTGTCTGGGGGTGAAGTGTCAGAAGACCAGATTTCACTCTTTTGCACCATAAAAGGCTCTTTAAAGCATAGAAATCCTGAGGAAAACAAGCCTAAGTGCTGGAAGCTGCCTCGGCCAGTTGCACTGCAGGAATCCCAGGCACGTGCCCGAGCTCTGGGGGTGCATGGGCAGGCGGCTGCCGGCAGCGTGGCAGTGCCGATGGACGCCCTGCTGTGATCTGCCCTGCGGAGACCGGTGGGAGAGCAGTGATGCTTGGGGACGATGGTCAACTGCAGTCAGCAAACCTTCCTCATCCCATGCTGCGCTCTGAGGGTGTCCGAGGCACCAGGCTGCTTTGCAGCTCCTGCCCTGCCTGCCTGCTCCCCTGCTCGGTTTGGGCGTTGCAGCCGGCACCGTGGGCAGTGCCAGCTATTGCCTGCCCTGCTGCCTGTCCTGCCCGAGCGGTGCTGCCCTGGCCCCCTCGGGTCCCTCCAGAATCCTCCTGGGTTGGCAATCCAGTTGCTTTCCCCATTATGCAAGCAGCTGAAGACAGAGCCACCAGCTGAGAGAACAGTGATTTTTTTAAAATTCTTTTTTCATTTTAGTGAAAATCATTTGCCATAGGGTCACGCTGTCCTGAACAGCCCATCCCGGCTCAGCCAGCTGCCCCCTCACCCCAGGCAAAGCCCCTTGGTGTTGCTCAGACATCGGGCAGAAACCTGCGGCATGTCTATCGGCAGCACTGGGGATCAGCTAATGGGATGGAGCTAATGGAAGTTAAAGTATGATGAATCCTCACCCAGACTGCTGTCACTTGAGAGAAGAGTCATCTTGGAGTGCAGCCTCTGCGGCAGCCAGTGGAGACGGCTTTACTCCTGCCCAGGGGTAACCACAGGTGGACATGGGGGCTAACACGCGCCGTATGATGTCCATGAGCAGTGCCCTGTACTGCTGGTGCCCCAGGACTTCCTTGCTGTCATCCCAAGGGATTCCCATCAGAGCTGGAACACAGCTGTTCCCACAGTGCCAGGTGAAGGCACCCGCCACATCCCTCTAGCCTTCCCCTTTCCCACCCGCCGCCATGTCTGGGGGCTCCTTTGAAAAAATGTTGGGGTGGGTGGGAAAGCGGTGAGGTCCTGGGATTGCAGCTGGGACATCACCTCCCCAGTGCTTAAGTAGAGAAGCTGGCTCGAGGACAGCCAGCAGGTCTGTCCCCCGCCAGCCCCTGCGAGGAGGGGACAGCCGCCACCAAGCCATGAGCAAGCGAGTTAAAAGCCGTCCCGAGGCGTGTAATGGCTGCCCTGGAGTTTTCTGGGCACATGGGTTGGTGTTGAACAGGGTGCTCTGCACCCCTGGGTGCTTAGGGAGCAGCAGCACTCAGGGGTGCTGCCTGTCCAGTATGTGGGGATGTCACATGTCACGTGGGGATGATGGTCCCAGTGAAAGCACAGAGAAAGAAATTGGAAGTGGTCAGCTTTCATCTCTTTAGAGTAAAATAAAATGAAATAAAAAGCAAGAGGAGGGGCAGGACTGGCTGCAGGGGGAAACTTTGGCTTCTTGAAAGCCGTATGCTCAGTAGCCAGGCACCTCGTACAGGGGATTTCCTTCTCACTGGTGCTTTTGGGGGACAAAAGGAATGTAAATGCTGCAAATCCTACCTCCATCCCACCACAACAGTGTCTGCTGTGCTCTGCCTCTGCACAGGGTTGTGCTTCCCAGTGACTTGGACCAAAATCAATGGAAGGACTTGGCCGTGCGTCCTGCAAGGCACGGGTCTGGCCACACTCTGAGATCATTTGACGGGCGTACATCCTGTTAGCAAAACCTCAGATATATCTACCAGATGTCACGGGATCAATAGGAAAGCAAGGCACAAGGGGCAATAATGGCTGCTGTGCTTCACTTGTTTGTCTTCAGATGCTGGCCCTGAAGCCCCTGTGCAGCTGGGGTGTTTTATGCCTGGCAAGTACAACTAAAAATGAATACATTTTGAATTTATTTTTGGTTTTGATGTGATACCTATAGAGGTCCTGCAGCACTGCTGCTTGGATCGATATCTGTAAGAATTTCTAAACTTCATTTTGAAATGTTA